ATTTAATTGTGTTTTCTTAGGATGTTTTCTTTTGGACTGAAATTTGCTGGTCTGGTCTGGTCTGGTCTGTTTAAGTCTGGTCTGGTCTGGTCTGGTCTGTTTAAGTCTGGTCTGGTCTGGTCTGGTCTGGTCTGAACTGGTCTGGTCTGGTCTGGTAAACGTCTGGTCTCTGTGTATTTTATAACTACGGAAGTCTGGTCTGGTCTGGTCTGGTCTGTTTAAGTCTGATCTGGTCTGGTCTGGTCTGTTTAAGTCTGGTCTGGTCTGGTCTGGTCTGTTTAAGTCTGGTCTGGTCTGGTCTGGGACTGAAAACAGTCCAAAAGAAAACATCCTTACAGTTTACACATATGGAATTGACTAAGTGGACAACCTATGTGCAGTCCTATTTCGGACATATGGCAGTACGTACATTAGGCACGTATTGATATACTCAGTAAATAAGAACCGTGACTCTTTGGACTCTAGTCAATTAAGCAAGTAAAATTTGACTAGCAAATTATAAGTGATATCATGACACATGTACGTGCATGTATTAATAAGAGTCCCTATATAGTACACCCGGATGTACGTACATCCGGCCCAATTATTAAATTTGACTGGTGGGCTTACATCTTGTTCCAGCGAAAAAAATTAAAATCCCCAACGAGATTCGATCCCCAGACCCGAAGTAGGATATGCGGCCTTCCAACCATCTCACTAACTTGTCTTGTTGAGATAATCAGTTCTTTTATCTTACTTATCCTATATAGTTTCATAATGCCTATTATTAATAGTAATTATAATATTAACTATTCTTTTGTTTTTGCTCATTATTACTATATTAAAAGACTAATTCATATTTTTGAAGTATTTATTTGATCTATGAATCATACTATTACTTTATATAAATATATTTATACTTTTTTTATATAGTGTTAGGTTCCTAATAAGCCTGATGCTCATCAAAAGTGTTTTAATGCTCATAATAGGTCTGATGAACATTAAAAGTTTATTAATGCTCATTTAACAGAAATTGTGATTTCCATCTCAATAGAAATTGTGATTTTTTCATCTCATTGATATGACATTGTAAAAATGAGCATAACATGAGTACCAAATGAACATACATAACTTACAAAGTGCACATTGATATGAAAATCGTAAGGTTTGTTAGTTGAACATCATGACATTTTAATTGAGCATCCAACCTCCACTATTGAGATGAAAATCACGACTTCTGGAGAATGAGTAATAATGAACTTTTAATGAGCACCAGACATATTCTGTTGAATATACTGAATACACAAATTGATATTTAAGCATACTCGAGATTTTAAATGAGCTTTTAAAATTTTTCTATGCTCATTTCGTAAATTAGCTATGCTCATTTGATATTTGTGTAATGTTCATTTTAAAATGAGCACTACACGAGACAACTAAAATGTCATATCCATGCATATTGGCGCAATGCTCATTTTGAACTTTTTGATACTCATTTCACGCGTTATGTATTCACATTTAATATTTGAGCATCAAACATCCGCTATTGAGATGAAATTCACGGTTTCTAGTGAATGAGCAATAATAAACGTTTAATGAGCATCGTACCCATTCTATTGAGTATTAGGAGTCTAATATTGAGAATCGTGATCTCCGCTTCATAACTTCTAATTCACTTTCTTTTTGTTATTTTTTCTTTTATAAAATCTTATTAAACTATATTTATAATCAACTCCTGTGAATTTCAATATGTGAATTAATGTAAAATAGTACTTTAAAAAATGCATCGATATGACATTTAGAAAATGAGCATAAGATCTCTACCAGATGAGCATACGTAACTTACAAAATGAGTATTAATGAATTTGTTAGCTGCTTTGTTATTTGAACATCACGACATTTTCATTGAGCATCAAACATCCTCTATTGAGATTGATGGAAATCACGATTTCTGTAAAATAAGCATTAATGAGGATTCGACCATACAAATGAGCATATGTAACTTACAAGATGAACATCGATATGAAAATTGTAAGTTTTGTTCGTTGAACATTTTACACACGCATTGATATGCCATTTTACATATGAGCATAAAATTAGTACCAAATGAGCATGTGTAGCTTACACAATGCGCATTGATTAAAAAATCATGTTAATTGGACATCACGATATTTTCATTGAGCATCAAACCTCCTATATTGAGATGGAAATAATGATTTGTATTAAATGAGCATTAATGAATTTTTAATGAGCATCAGACTTATACAAATGAGCATATGTAACTTACAAGATGAGCATTGATATGGAAAGTGTAAGTTTTATTCGTTGAGCATCAAGACATTTTCAATGAGCACCAAACCTCCGTTATTGAGTATTAGAATCTGCGATTGAGTATCATGATTTGTAGTCTCATGTCTATAATCAACTCTTATATAAATCTAATAATGTAATATGACACTTTTGAAATGTGCATTGTTAAAACATTTTAAAAATGAGCGCAACAGAGATACTAAATGAATATACATAATTTACAAAAATGAGTATTCGAAAATTCAAAAGCTCATTCACGTATGTTCATTTTTAGGCGTTTTACTCATTTGAGTTTAAGGTAAAACTCATTTCTAATGTGCTCGGTATAATATACCACCTCCGTTCTTTTTTATTAGTCCTTCTTTCCTTTTTGGGACGTTTTTTTTATCTGTCCTCTTTTCCATCTAAGGAAAGTTTTTACTCTAAATATACTTTTATACCCCAACTTTTATTACCATTACCCCTTTCTCTTTCCTACTTTTTCATTTACTCACTACTCATTACACCTTTTACACTACCCCTACTACTTTCTTCTTAAAACCCGTGCCAAAGCCTAAGAGGACTAATATTAAAGAATGGATGGAGTATATAAAAAGAAAAGAAGTAAACAACAAATAAAGAAAGTAAAAGAAGTAAAAAAAGAGAAAGTAAAATCAACCAGCAAAAGTAAAGAAAATAAAAAACAAAAAGACAAAGTAAAACATAAAAGAAATGAAGCAGTTCAACCAAAAAAAAACGAAGCAGCGAATGAGTACAAAAAAAAAGACTAAGGAAGCAGCGGATAACACATGTATGAGCCGCTGAAAAAAAAGGTGAATTAAAAAAAAGGCAGCGGCCAATGACGAGCGTGAGTGGAGCACGGAAGGATGAAGCTCAGTCTATTTAATTACAAAAAAATCGGGTGTACATACACCCGGATGTACCATATAATTTGCGTATTAATAAAGGACACGTATTACTCATCGTAGTCGTCAAATATTATACTCGGTATATTATGTGCACAGAATATTAATTGAAAACCTGTCATTTAGTTATTGGGAAAATAGAAAATAATAATCCAACCTTTTAGCGGTCTTCTTATAATAATCCAACCTTTTGGTTATTCATGAATAATCCAACTTTTTGGTTAAGAAAATATCTTGGAATAGTAGGTCATTAACCGATCAGGGACCAATGAATGAAGATGAGGTGCAAAGGTTAAATTATTCATGAATAATCAAAAGGTGGGATTATTGAAAGAAGACCGTTAAAAGGTTGGATTATTAGTTTCCATTTTCCCTTAGTTATTTTGTTTATTAATTTAAACATTCTAACCGAAATTTCAGTATAAACATTATATTGAATAAAGAATACTTGTTGTTCATATTCAGTTTTTTATCAGTTTTCGTGACTGAAGAAAACAAAAGAAATACATTTTTTTTATTTGATGTTCTGATCATTGTTAAGACTCGGGGTTCCATCCTAAAAGGTCAACCTGTTAGGAGGAGTAGCCCATGTGTTAATATAGCACTTCGTTCATCCAAATCTTTCCGGTGTGGGACATTTAACACCCCTCCTCACGACCAGACACTTCGTCTGGATCGTGCAATCATTCATTTTTTTTTCATCGGTCCGTTTTTTTTTTCATCCGGCCGTAATTGTCATTTTTTTATAATCGTGTCATCACGATTCATAAGGGGCCCCACACCATGGATCGATTTGGCTCTGATACCATGTTAAGACTCGGGGTTCCATCGTAAAAGGTCAACCTGTTAGGAGGAGTAGCCCATGTGTTAATATAACACTTCGTTCATCCAAATCTTTCCGGTGTGGGACATTTAACAATCATACTCAGAAGTTCTGCGCACCGTTTCGATTTTCACATCAAAGTTACTCCGTGACTATTTTATACTAGTACTTCGTATATTCCATCTATTATATTTTTACTACTCCATAATTTGTTTCTTTCTTTCTTCTGAGAATAACCAAGTCATGACTCTAGTACTTTTATTTCATCTCTTTATATGAGTCTACTTTTGTCTCCTACTCGAGCTTTCATCTTCCTTAGAGTAGTCCATATTATTTACGTACTGATCATTAATATTAGAGAGTATCCCATTGAAGATAGTGATATACTCTTAAGGGTACGTATGTATGTAGTTATACAATTTCCCCTTCTCCTGTAAGAGCTTTATTAAAATTGATTAAAGAAATCAAATTGTTAAGAGGTATGTTATCTATATTTTCTTTTCGTATATGATAGAAAAATATTTAAACTCAGAATAGTTTTCTGGTTCAAATATTAAAAGAAGATAACACATATTGATGTTAATACCTGCAGGAGATGATGATTTCTTGAAAAGATTTGAGCAGATTCGTGCTGATAACGTGTTGAGAAATGAAGAAGATGCAGAACAACTTTAAGAGATAGCTATATTGATATAAACCTCTGAATAACTTCTTCTTAATATCTGAAAAATTCTGAGTTTCTAAATTCAGTTTACAAAGGATTGAATAAGCCCTATTTATACTATCTACACAATTTGCTGGCAATATTAGATCTACCCACTTGTCTAACTATGATTACAAGGATGTGAATTAGATGAGTAGGCTCATTACACGGATCACGAATAGCTTGATGCCTAATGACAAGGAATCAAGGATGCAATTCACACTTGTCGTCCCAGTATTTTACAACAGTTTTCGGTTTTTTCCCACCTCCATTTTTTACTGTTTTTTGTGCCCCTAAACAGTGCACTTGAATTTCCGTAGCGCTCATCCTCTCGCAGGAACTCAGGAAGTACATTGTAAAGAAAGAAAACCTCCCGCCAAAATCACATTAGGCATTTCAATTTCTCAATCTTTGGCGTAGCCATCGCCAGAAAAAATGGAGGTGAAAGAAGCTGGATCTTCGTTGGACGCGCTTATCTCTTCTTTCAACGCTCGAATCGCCGAGCTTCAGCAACTCGTCATCGCTCGAAACAGTTGAGTGCTGCTACCAAATCCCATTCTTCTTCTCAGTACAGTTTTTTTTTTTTCAGATCCCTCAGTTTGTTGGACCTATTATCTTGTACGATGAACTTTGTAGTGTATCCATCGAGCAGTATTTCCGACTTAACTGCGGTTGATTCGTCACTCTCTGGATTAGAGCTCCAGCTCGAGAATATCCGAACCCGATTGCGTGAAGAAACTGAAGCCATCCCCAAAGCCAAAGTATCAACCCGTTCCTCTCTCTTTTGTTTCTGTGTATGCTTCTGGTGAGGTTTGGTTTATTTGCAAAGGGAGCCCTTTCAATTTCAATTCGCTAGTCTGAACTCCAATTTTTAGTACTAAGCATATGAATTTATAATGAGATACATTTTGGGTTTGCTTCATTCTTAAATCTTGGTTATTTGACCTTATCTTGTGGTTCACTAATCTGTAATCACTATATCTTTTACCATAAAATAGCTCGGTTTTAGAAAACTAGAAAAGTTTATATTAGAGAGCCTTTGTAAACCTTACTAACCCAGTATTTTTTATTATAGAATCTCTATAAATAATTCTAATATTGTCACTTTGCTTCACCCTCTATCCACATAAACTTTTACTACATGTCATCTTGTTAAGCCTAATAATGGATATTCTGGATCCTGAAAAAGGAAGTTAACACTAATAAAGGAACTAGTAACAACAACAACAATAATAATAGTAATGTTAATGCTGATGGTCGTGATGATAATAGGCTTCTTCCATCCATACCAACTCACCAAACTGATCCTGGAGATATTAAAAAACTGATATTATTGGATGTGAAATAATTATAGCTTCCTTAAGGGGTTTGATTTGTAGAAATTGATAGAGGCATCATTGAAGCAACAGAAGAAACTGCAATTTATTGCTGCTAATATTCCTTTGAGCTTGTCTGGAAGAATGGACCACACAACACAAGATACCATTAATGGGTAATGCATTTTCCACTCAAAATCAGGTTTCCGATTTTGAATTTGTGGTTCTAATCTGTTCTTGGCTTTACTTCTGTACAGTGTTCAACAACATTCTTGTACAGATGATTTAACTCATGAGCCTCTGAAAATTGAAGAGCCCGCACAAAGAGTATTGAACTATTCTTAACTCTTCTTTTGTACAATTGTTTTCCCCAACTCCTTTAAGTCTGTTTGGAACTCTGAAAACTCTAGTGAAAGAAAACAGAAAGGAGAATATGATGGAAGTTGGTTGAAAAGAAATTTGGGGGAAAGTAAAACTCAATCAATTCGTTTAGGATCACATTTCAAACTCATTTTGTTTATTTCTATTATACATAATCACAATTATCTAAATATATTGAGAAAAGCAAAAATAAATCATCATATTTGATTATTTCATTTTACTATGAATTTTCTATAGTAACATAGTAAGACCAAATATAGAATAAATTTCCTTTACATTTTCCCTGTCCCAAGCATTTTCTGTGATCCTAACATACTCTTACTATGCCTCAATTGTAAAAACAGAATATGGGGTTGTTCTTGCTTACCAATTTTGAGCATTTTTTCATCTGTTATCATACTCTTAGGAAAAAAAGGGTCGTGCGCCTCCACCATTGTGGTACCTCAATGCTGATGATCTGAATAATCTGCCATCGTGAGTGGGTTCTATTTATTCGCTTAGTGGTGCTCATTATATATTGGTATGCTAAAGCTGCTCTAATGAGTGTGAAATGTAGGTACATGAGAGGCAGGCTCACTCTTGATAAGATCAATGCAGCTATTGATGACATTGCAATGTATGCTGAAACAAATTCCCAGCTCATCAGAGCACCTAGAAAGAAGGTAAGGTGCCCCTTCCTCTTAGGATAATGGACATTTCCGGATCCTGAAAAATGATATGGAAAGGGGGAAAGTGCCAAAGAAAGTTGTTTTTGTATGTTGTTCATGGGAAATGCAAAGAAAAATGAAAGATGATTAGTTGTTTATGTTCTTATACATAATTCTATCCTTAATCTTTTTCTAATAGTTTAAATTGCTAAAAGTGAGTATGAAAAAATATCTAAAATAAATTTGTTAAGTTTTAGTCCCCACCACCACTGAACGCTTAAGGTATGTTTTGATCCTGGAAGATGCTAGAGAAAGGAAATCAAATGGCAAGGAAGTTATATTCTCATGTTTGGCTTTATGCCTTTATCTTTGAAAATGCAAGGGATAATAAATATGATTAGTTTTTTTATAATTATAGATTAGTATAGTTGTTTAAATTTCTTAGTAACTCTATAGTAAAAAATATTTGAACAAATATCTAAAATACATCGTTTTAGTTTGAGCATATCTTTAATTTTTCTAAAATTTATATCCCCTATTTACATTTTCACTCCCTATATTCTTTTCCTAATGTTTTCTTGGTTCTAAATGGACTGTTGATGCTCTTAATCAATCTTGAGGCATAATCTGATGAAATGAAAATGTGTTTTGATTATTAAATTTGTCTTTGTGCAGTTGACTGAGAATATCGTGGAGAAAGCAATGGTAACTGAACCCAATATTTTGCTAGCATAAGTTGACTATTTCCATCATACATCTTACAATTAATAGAGCTGTGGTCATATTTGATTTGAGCTTTGAAACCAAAACCCCTCATATTCTTGCAGGAACTAAGAGATATTGCTGCAACAGAAGCGTTTAAGGGGAAACACTTCTTTCTTGAGTCAGACATTAAAGGCCCTTCACTGAAACTTGACCATACAGGAAAAGCAATACTGACTGTAAGTTCTATCCTTTGGCAATTGGCACACATTTAGCTCTTGTTTGGTTCAAGATTATGGAGAGGGGAATAGTTTGGAGGAGCTATGGACTCGATAGACTCCTAATAATCCACTCCCTACTTTGGTTATTTTTGAGGATTAATCTTTTTTCTTAATTTCCTTTTCACCCTTTCGACTAAAAGTGTTCCACATTACTATCTTATACTCTGTATTATTATATGTTGGTTAATATATACAAGTGCAATCACAAATTACATCAAATACATCAATATTTCTCTATGCCTTTTCTAAATAATAATATCTGAACCGAAGCTTGGTTTCCTGGCCCCAGTAATGGATGGGTGACTGGGTGGTAATGTAAGTTTGAATGTACAAAGGTTAGTTATTAACCTAAAATACTTTTTATTCGAACCAAATCCAATGTACGTCGCCTTGATATGACTCAAATGTGCTTTGAGTTGGTCTCCGTCGCGACTCCAGTGTGGCTCAGAGACTTTGACACGGTTCAAATGTGGCTTGAATGTGGTTCTGATATGGCTCCGACGCGGCTCTGATGCACTCAGATATTCCAAGGGCTCAGATGCAACTTTACACTCCGACACGGCTCGATGGCCTGAATTCAACTTGGATATGTCTCCAATGCGGCTCGAACGCAGTTGAGATATGACTCGATGCAGTGTGGATGTGGCTTAGACTCGGCTCATGTATTTGGCCTGTGAAAACTTTTCTTCTTGTGAGACTGTGCCTGGATGAAATAAAAGAAATCAGAATCAGTGTTTTTATTTAATGCACCCTTCCAGAAAGTTGCAACTTGCAACTTGCAACCTTTAAAATGAGTGACCCTTCTCGTTGATATATTCATTCTGTTTTGCACATACACTTCATTTTAGTTGGAGATGTAATAAGACAAAGAGCCTGCCCGTTTGATAGCACGAAAATCAGCTGATTTAGCTGATTTAGCTGATTCTGCTGAAATTTATGAAGTTCTGGCTGCATTGGCTCATTATGCTGATTTAAGGAAAAAAAAAGTTAAAATATATTTTATTAATAAAATAAAGAAAAAATTATATGTAAAAATAGCTAAAATGATTATCTACAGTAACTTCAGCCAATACAGCCAGAAAAGTAACTCCAACCTTACTTTTTCTGCTTAATACACAATTCAGCGTCGAAAACAAAAATTACGTGTTTGATGGAAAAGTTGGCTAATAAGCCTGATAAGCCGAAAAATAGTGTTGTCAAACAGCCTCAAAATATAAATTTTGGTAGGCGACTACTAGTACAAGACATTTTGCCTTTTTAGCTAAAGGACTGAATATTATGACTTGTGCCACAGTTATTTGGTTAACATTGGTGCGCCAAATGAAAACTAATGTACTTCCTCCGTCACAAAAAACTGTCAAGTTTCTGTAATTTTCTGTCCCAAAAAAATTTGTCATTTTCATTTAAACTACGGAGTAATATACTTGTGGTCAAAGTTATTTCTCTCCTGTATAAATCTTAATGGTACAATTTTTATTTTATAATTCCACATGTATATCAAACTCAGCCAAGTTTTGTGGACGTATGGAGCATTGGAGCATCAATCATTGTTATATTTTTTTTTATTTGCAGATCCTTCGACACACTGGTCGTATTACTGAAGGTCGAAGTGGGCATAACCGTGTTTTTATACTTGTAAGGCCTCAACAAATTTGATAGGTATGTATGTTATATGAATCTAGGAATGGTTGAATGTAGTAATGTACATCCGCCACCGCCTTTATGTGTTAGTACACCATATCTATGGTTTGCTGTTGTATTTATTCTCTTTGAGTTGTGTGACCCAGCAATTTCAATACAAGCAGGAAAGGATCAAGGAATTATGGCTAAAGGGGGCAATTTTTTTCATTAGTTTAGACTGTTTATTTTGTTATTCAAAATATATATATTTTCATTAGCTTATACTGGACATTTAAAATTACCCCTCTAAACTTACACGTACGACAAGAAAAATAATTTAGATTTTATAATTCAAATTGTTCTAAAAACAGAATTCTTCCAAAAAAACGAAAAAAAGAATGGGTGCAAATGTGCAATACTATCAAAATCAAACACTATTTCATATTCGAGCGATATATGTTTAAAGGAAATATACGCTGCTATTGCCTATTGATGCATTATTATGTTTTGAAGGAAAAGTTAAACAATTTAAAACAAACGTGCTATATAGTATATCCAATGTTCTAAAAGGCGTCAGGCGCTAGTCGGGCGCCAGCCCAGCGCCTAGGTGGCTAGGCGGGCGCCTAGTCGGGGACTAGTCGGAAACAAACAAATCGCATTTTTATCTATATTTTTGCATAAACATGATAAGTAATAATATATATTTGTATGTATAAATACATATATACATATACATTAACAAAAATGAATGACAGAATTATCACATGTAATCATACATAGTATAGAAACATATATAGTTTTAACTTAATTTACAACTTCATTTCTTTATATCCATGGCTAAAGCTAAAGTACGTAGATTGCTTAGAAAATTAAATTTAAAAAGTAAAATAATGTTTGGGGAATCTAGACGGCCTAGACGGCCGATTAGGCGCTTTAGTCGGGCAATTAGGCGCCATAAGCGGCCGACTAATTCACCTAGACGGCAAACCAATTAGTCGGAGCGCCTAGACAAAAATCGGGGCGCCCGACCACCGCCTAGCGCCTAGGCGGGGACTAGTCGGACGCCTAGAATGATTTTTAGAACAGAGAGTATATCTAAAGTTGGATTGGTATTTTCTAATAATGTATTGATCGAAAGAACGCAAAATATATGAGAGAGACCATTATGGTATTATACCGTGTAATTGTGTAAATGGTGTACCGATCTTAATATAGTTATAGTGTGGTTTTATATTAAACTACATAATTTATTCTTCATTAGAGATTCATTCACAAATATGTTCTGTCATCTCCTTCATTGCTTTCTTTGATTTTTTCTTCTTGGAGTACCTTCTTCTCTTTTGTTAAAATATTAAGAATCTAATCACAATTTCGGTTTTATATATCTTCAACATTAAACTACGAGTAGTTTTTATTCCTTCTCTATGGGTTCAAAAACGAAAGTGTATTAATTTAGAAGAAAAATTAATATTTGTATTTGGCTAAAGGGTCAAATAGGTCCTTGAACTGACTTAAAGTGTTCAATTAGCCCCTTATATAGGAGGTTCTGCCCGGTCGTCGCTAATTGGGGTGGTTCCCGGTGAAATTTTTTGATGAATTTTTTTGAGCATCTTCTTCATTAAGTCTAGTTTACTCATACCAAATTTCAGCTAAAAATTCAACCGGGAAGGCATTCAAATGATTTTTCGAAATGTACTGCGCTGTTTAACTTCGCAGTTATCTTCAAAAAATCATTTGACTGCCTTCCTGGTAGAATTTTTAGCTGAAATTTGGTATGAGTAAACAAGACTTGATGAAGAAGATGCTCCAAAAATTTCATAAAAAAATTCCACCAGAAAATGCCCCAATTGACGACGGCCGGGCAAAACTTCCTATATAAGGGGCTGATTGAACACTTTAAGTCAGTTCAAGGGTCTATTTGACCCTTTAGCCTTTGTATTTTAAGGCTAGCAACTTTTCTTCAAGTTTGATTTTTTGTTTTTTCACTTCGTGTGATTCATATTTGAATTTCAACAAATTAAAGTTATTCGCGTTCAAGAGTTCACATTTGCTATTACATGAGATTATATTTCTAGTAACACGAGTTACATTTTATGCACGTGGGGCAAATCTATATAACATATACGTAATATTAAACAACTTACATTTCAACATGTCTTAAATTATACTGTATTTCCATTAATGTGACTAACATTTAGACTTGCTACAAGTTTAATTTTCATTATCGTGATTAACATTTTCGACTATTAAAAAAAATTAACATTTTCGACTTGTCTCAAATTACATTTCCATTAATGTAATATACATTTTGACTTGTTCAATTTACATTCTCATTAATGCAATTTACATTTTGGCTTGGTTCAAGTTTCATTTCTATTAAGGTAATTTACATTTTGACTTGACTCAAGATACATTTCCATAAGCACGATTTACATTGTCAAACTCCACATTTTACATTTCATACTTCCCCATGTTACATTCTCCAATAACATGAATTACAATCTCATACCCTTTATTTTCACTTAACCCTAAATATTTATATTTGATTCATAGCTTAAATGTTTACATTTGACACTATTTGGAGTTACACTTATGGTAATATAAGTTACATTTTCATACCCTTAATTTACACGTGATTTAGTAAAGGGTATAAAATTGTAACTCGTGTTACTAACTTACTACTCCCTCCGTCCCTTATAACTTTGCCAACTTTCCTTTTTTGGATGTCCCATTAACTTTGCCACTTTCCCATTTAAGTAAAGAATTTGTGGTTCCAGTTAATTCTCTCTCCTCTGCACAAACCTCAACCACACAGTTTTTACTTTATTAATTCTCGTGCCGGTCAAACTTGGCAAAGTTATTAGGGACGGAGGGAGTATAAACCTTAATCTATCACTAAAAAATGCTTCCATCGAATAGAACGCTGTGTGCAGCTGGCTAGAATATGCCATAACCTTTGCTTGCTAAAGGTGATATCGATTTTACCATATTACTCCTTAGTCAAAGATCACCAAGTTCCCATAAAAGCTTGCTAAAGGTGATATCGATTTTACCATATTACTCCTTAGTCAAAGATCACCAAGTGTTCAAGTTCCCATAAAAAAGTTAACTCTCAAACTACTGTTTGAGATGAGATGAACGACTGATCGCGCAATTACTCGGGGTAACCATCGGATTATATGAACACCGTTTGAGAAGTCTCCTAAAGTTTATTGACCTTACACAAAAGCACCCACGTGCTAAAGAATATCACTAAAGATCTATATATCCTATAAAATTTAAAATATTCTGTCATTTATATTTCTGAAAACACCGGAAAGTTTATGAAATACGCAGTAAAAGATACTACCTCTCTTCCATATTGGTTCTCATCTTTCAATTTGATACAATTATTGATAAATTGGTTAAAAAGTAAAAGTTGTGATTGAGATTTGAATAGAATAAAATGAAATAAAAAATATCTCATATTATTCGCCGAAAAGGGAAACCTGATATTCATTTTGGGACAATTCAAAATGAAAAATAGTACAATCAAAATGGAACGGAGAGAGTAACACATACAAGGCTAGCAAATTAGTATAAGATGAATGCATGGTAGGGCACGCACTCCATAATTAAGTGAGAGTATCATAATTGTATGTTCAAATTATAACTATCTATTTAAAGTAGATTCTTTTTTTTGTGGTTTAAGAACTCAATTATTATTTTTTGTCCTTTCCCTGAGCGAAGTACTATCTATTATTCTATTATTATTAGCTATTACTCTATTAGTCACATTTGGTCGGGAAAAAAGTTGTGTACATGGATGGTTTATTGGTCTATGAGACTATGAGACAATGGCGTACTGAATTTGTTTTATTGTTGGGCATGTCCAAATAGACAAATTGTAGTTTATTCATCGTTCTAGCTAGTACACAATTTTTATATAAATTTGTTTTGAAAGTAATAGCCTCATACGGAGTATGAATTAATCCAAACAATTTTTACATCTATCTCTCATGCTATGCTATATATTCATTGTGCACATTATTGCATTCTACATTCGACATGCTTAAGAAGCAAAACATGTATTTAGAAAAACTACTTTAAACTATTCTTGCACTAAGAATCTAGTATTTTTTAATAGTTTTAAAAAAGTATTGCAAATGCTCTTTAAGTGCTCTGTGCCATGAAGAGTGAAGAAGAATTTTAACCTTGAAATTAAAACACATGTTTGTGATTCTTGTGAATAAGATAATACCGACATAGTAAAATTTTATAGACACATGTTTGTTATTTAATACGAGGTAAATCAGTGTGAGTGTTATAATATCATTGTAATTACAATAGATTTAAAAAAAAAATACATCAAAGCATACAATGTAGGTGCAAATGTAAATGATAAGTTATTAAGACAACATACCGGATGTTATACTCTTCTATTTAACTATATAGTATCCGTGTGAGTACTAAGTTATATAGAATTCTTTGAAATACTCAGACATGGTTCAATATTAGAATTGAAGTGACAATTCTTATCTACTGAAGCAGAACATAGAAACAAAGAATGATAAATAGTGTGAAATGAAAAATAATAAATATATACATTTTTCTTTATTGAAAGCACCTAAGTTTTTGTAAGTTTTAGATGTAGGTAGAGTTTTGCGCATTCAATCGTATTACTTTTGCTCTACGTATTAGTATAATTTTTTAATTGTCTATATAATGTTCTCAGATCAATGGATCGTAGTTGGATATATGGTCTTCGGAACACCTCTGAATTTTTCACAGGTGTTAATGGATTTATAAAACATGCTCTTACACACCAAAAACAACAAGGCCAAGAAGGGATTTTATGTCCATGTTCGAGGTGTCGTAATTTTAAAAAAGAAAATGATGTCAATGTTGTTCTTAAACACTTGCTTCAAAGAGGGTTTAGAGAAAATTATAGAATATGGTCTTTGCATGGTGAAACTTGTGTGGATGATGAAGCTCTTGCACAACCTACTTCTAGTAATTTAAAGCGCAAAGCGTCCGACATTGCCAATGTCGTATCAAATGATCAAAATGACACTACTAATGATGACGATGACTTCAATGTTGATCTAATTGATGATCTTTTGAAAGATGTGCATGAAAGTTTTGAGCATCAACCAAAATCATACGAAAGTATGGTTGATGCCGCCAGAATACCTTTGTATTCTACTTCAAGCTTCACGAAGTTGTCTGCGGCGTTAAAGTTGTTCCATTTGAAATCTAAATACGGATGGACTAATGTGAGTTTCACGGAGTTGTTGACATTACTTCAAGAGATGTTGCCCGAGGGGAATACACTTCCCGATACAACATATAAGGCTAGAAGGCTATTGTGTCCTATGGGAACCGAGTGGAAGAAAATTCATGCATGTCCCAACGATTGTATTCTATATCGAAATGAGCATGAAAACTATGATGAATGTCCAAGGTGTCACCTTTCACGTTATAAAAGGAAAAGGAGTACAAATGCTGCTCATGAAGAAGCTGATTCCAAAATTCCTTCCAAAGTTCTGTGGTATCTTCCAATTATTCCTAGATTCAAAAGGTTATTCATGAATGAAAAGGATTCCAAACATCTAGTTTGGCATGCTCAGGGTAGGAAGAAGGATGAGTATTTGCGTCATGTATCTGATTCACCTCAATGGAGACAAATTGACCTGAAATATCCCGAATTCGGTAGAGAGGACAGAAATTTGAGACTTGGTCTGTGCACAGATGGTATGAACCCATATGGCAGGCTTAGCAGTCAGCACAGCACCTGGCCAGTTTTACTGGTTATCTATAATTTGCCATCGTGGTTGTGCATGAAACACAAGTACATCATGTTATCTTTGCTTATCTCGGGACCTCAACAACCGGGTAATGACATTGATGTGTACCTTGCACCGCTTATTGACGATTTGAAAGTTTTGTGGACTGAAGGTGTTAAAACATATGACATGCACACTAAATCTTATTTCCAAATGCATGCTATGTTGTATTGCACCATCAATGATTTTCCAGCGTACGACAATCTTTCAGGTTACACGGTTAAAGGTGCAAAAGCATGTCCGATATGTGAAGATAACACTTGCGATTTGCGCTTACCTCATTGCAAAAAGAATGTTTATATGAGTCATCGCAGGTTTCTTCCGCGCACTCATCGTTATCGTGCATTGAAGAAGGCATTTAATGGAAAAACTGAGCACGAAGTGCCTCGTCCTCCATTAAGTGGCCATGATGTGTATGATAGGGTGAAAGATTTAGAGACAGTCTTTGGAAAGCCTTATAAGCGTAACAAACAGAGCCTTTGGAAGAAGAAATACATCTTCTATGAGCTTCCTTATTGGAAAGACTTGTCTGTAAGACATTGTCTTGATCTCATGCACATTGAAAAGAATGCGTGTGATAGCATTATCTCGACCATTTTGAACATTCCTGGTAAGTCAAAAGATAACATAAATATCTGAAAAGACATGGTTGAACATCTCAACATTAGAAAAGAGTTGGCACCACAACCACGACTTAATGGTTTCTATCTTCCACCAGGCAGCTACACATTATCAAAACTGATGTATTATATGTACCACCTAACACTGTATATTTAATATGCTAGCTAACACTTTATATTTTATATGCAACCTAACAATTTATATTTAATATGCTAGCTAACACTTTATATTTAATTCATTATGTAGCATGACTATGTTCTAGAAGATAACATGGTTAAACCATTAAGATTGGAGAAATCGGTTAAGATCAGCTTTCGTCACTAAGACACGACCGATTGGAAAGGATTGTGACGATCCTTTGGAGAAGTACAAAGACCAACTCACAAAAGAAGTGTGGGAAGATTTTGTGGCTAAGAGTACGACTCCAGAGTTTATGGTATGATTATTAATATTAAAATGATACTACGCTTATTAGCATTTTAGTGGTTAAGTCATTAAATTTTTATAAAGAAATAATGTTGAACCAAAATATTGAGCAGGCTTTGCGTGAGAAGAATAGACAAACAGCGCTTAAGAACATTTTTCCTCACCATATGGGTCGTTCAGGATATGTGCTTTCCATGGCGAAATGAAAAGAGCAAGGCTTACTAGACTGGTTTCTTCCGACATCGGAGGTAGATTCAACGAAATCTAGCACAACCACAACTAAAGAAATTCCAAGACATGTGAGTTGGTTTTGTGCTAGGTCGGGATTGACATCTGATGGACATTTAGCTTTTCCTAGTAATATTGAAGGCATGTTAGAGAAAAAAGGAAATTAGTAAGTTAAACGCCTCTTATATCTTTTATAAATTCGTTTAAATTAAAGCTAATGCTCCTTTAAATAAACCATATAATAGGACAAAATTCAAGATGACATAGCTGCAGGGACATGGAAGCCAAGTGGAAGACATGATATTTTGAGTGAGGTTGTAGGGAAACTTGACAATCCTGGCCGTGCACTTGGCGTTGGTGGTGGTGTGGGTTATACCCGAGTGTTTGAAGCGGAGCGTAGAGGTGGACGGCGCGAGACTGCGAGAGAGTGGGCAATTTGAGTGAGGATGATTTGAAAAAGTTGCAAGAGAGATGGTTGAAGGATATGCATCACTACTTTGTTCCTAGAGGTGAACAACCTGACATGGGATCAACACGAACTTTTGAGTCAAGCCAAGTAGAGATAATGAACTCCACAGCTGATATTCCACATAAATCTTTCATTGTGAGTAAGAATAGAATTAATTTATATGATATTAAGTGTTTTATTAAATGTAAATCTTTAATTGCATATGAAAATGCATGCAGGATGGTGCATCTTGTAGGCTGGCTGTTGAGTCACATACTGTTAATGGTGATATGAGCTTGGATTATGTGGCCGTAGCTGTAGCTTACGACACACCAGTTGGTGCTTTGATCCATAACGTACTGATGTCAGATAAAACAATTAAAGTGAATATATCAATGTCATGTCCAGGTTTTGATCATCAGTGTCCTTTGTTGTTTCCAAATGAATTAGCTGATATGTATGTTGTAGCGGATGTTGTGGGTTCCTTTGTTCAATGGCCAGCTAGGTTGGTGATTTTTGAGGGGGAGGTAACTGAATAGTACAACCCTAAGTGTAATTTATGTATACATTTATATATTTGTATCGTGATTGTTGAAATTTTTTAGGAACCACAATTTCAACATAAAAAGAAAGAGATAAAGAAGAAGCAAACAACATTTGTTGAGAGAGATCCTCCAAAAGTAACGGTTGCACCTTCCATATGCCCATTGGTCAGTGAGAGCATACTTGATACTCTTACAGATGATGTTTTGGAGTTACGTGACGCATTGCAGTAGTTTGAACTTGAAGATTGTAAGTTCTCAGTCCATCTTCCTATAGATGTGTTCGGTTTCCAGGAAAATCATCCATTTGGGGCTCACTTTCTTGAGGGGGACTCACTTGAGATCTCTATCATTCAGACTTTCATGGTGTAAGTATTAAATATACATTACTTTTGAATCAAGTAAATATTTTTTTTAGTTGCTTTAAGTGTGATAGTATTTATTTATTTATTTATTTATTTATTTATTTATTTATTTATTTATTTATTTATTTATTTATTTATTTATTTATTTATTTATTTATTTATTTATTTATTTATTTATTTATTTATTTATTTATTTATTTATTTATTTATTTATTTATTTATTTATTTATTTATTTATTTATTTATTTATTTATTTATTTATTTATTTATTTATTTATTTATTTATTTATTTATTTATTTATTTATTTATTTATTTATTTATTTATTTATTTATTTATTTATTTATTTATTTATGTGCAGTTGTTTAAGTGAAAAGTTAGTTGGGCTTGGCCGTGACGACATTGGTTTTTTATGCCCTCATCTGTGCTCTCTTGAACATTATAAATTGAACAAAAAGGGCACAATGACTTACTTGAAACATGCTTTGATAGAGTTCTTTGAAAAGTCATTCATTTTCCTGCCATACCATGAAGGGTAAAACGTATACAATATATCTCCATTAAAATTCTTGTGATATGTTATTTATTTATTGTGTTATTTTATTCAATATAGGTATCATTGGATTCTGCTTGTCATTTGCCCCAGGGTCGATAAGGGATATATTTTTGATTCCTTGTCGAGTTCTCCTAGCATTAGCATTCAAAGAGATTTAACAACGTTAGTATTATATAATTTTTTGAATAAATTCAATTTAATAATTATATGTAACATGTATATTCAATGAGATTTAACATGTGTATATATGTAAGAAAATGTTTGTTTGAATTTGTAGAATGTATAGAGTGACATCTGCACAAAAAGGTCGTGGTAAGCCAATTAAATGACATAGTGTGAAGGTATGTTCTATTCTTTCTATCATACAATTAATCTTAGGAAAGTGATCTTGAAATATAATTTTGATTCTTATACATTTATGAATTATACAGGTTGCACAACAAATCGGAAGTACTGAATGTAATTATTATGCCATGAGGTTCATGTGGGAAATATTATCATACTCTCAGAATCATGATATTGGACTGGTATGAATAAATTGTGAGTTTGCATAGTTATTTATTACATATATTTGTTATTAAGTTTGAATATATTTGTGATCATTTCAATAAATATTTCAGGTATGGCATTCAAGAAGTGAACCATATACATTAGGAGAGTTCAATGAAATCAGAAATGTACGGTCAAGATACTTTCTTGATATAGTATTGCAAACTTGAGGAAAAACTACGTAGCAAAAAAATTTGCACATTGTATTAATGTATGCATTTTGATTGGATGTTTAACTAAATAAGTACTTGATTCTGCATTATGCACTTGATACATGATGATATGGTATTATTTTTGTTGGATACATTTGATTGTATTATAAACCGGAAAATGAAGCTGAATTTTAATATTAATGCGTTATATATTAAATATAATTTCAGAGGCGCTTTAACCATTAAATGCATCTAAAAATATCCGTTAATTTCAAATTTAGAGCCGTTATTTGCAACCCAAAAAACCGTTTAGAGGCGCTTTCAGCAAAGAAGCGCCGCACGTGTCACCAGGATTTTTAAATATGGAGGCGTTTTTTTGCAAGATAGCGCCGCACGCGTCCCTGGAATTTTTGAATTTAGAGGCGCTTTTTTGTTAATGGAGCGCCGCACGCCTCAGCAAAAAAAATAAAATAAAAAAATGTTGGAGGCGCTTTCTTACAGTGAAGCGCCTCTAAAAAAAACTTTGCGCCACTATTCGTTAGAGGTGCCATAAAGCGCCGCACGTGCCAAAAAATAAGCGCCTCTATACGACGTTTTTGCATCAGTGATTGTGCCTAATCGTCTTTTCTTTAATTTTACTTGAATATTTTACAATCTAATTTTTTCATTTTCATACAACTACTACTGTGTATATAATTAAGGAAAAAATGAAATAAAATAATTTCAACTACTGTCGGTCCGTCGTTAAGAATCCCAACTATCGATTATTCATGCGTGGTCACAACTATAAGAACCATTTTCCAAAAATTTCTCTAACCGGTTACAACCTTATATTAAGGAAAATAATACAAAATCATAAATTCATAACACAACTGAAAAAACAAATTGGAAAAAAAAAATAAATTTTTGCGAAAATGAATAAAAAAATGACTAAAAATGTTTTATTTAACTATGGTACATATGTATAATTTTTTTAGTTGCCTATACATGATTAAAATATTTAGTTTCAAAATTTAAGAAAAAAAACTCTGTTCCAAATATTAAGAGTTGATAGTTAGGATTAATAAAAAAAAGGTCTACTATAATTGGGGTTATTTAAAACTTACACATAGTTCGAATTTAAAATTGACATGCTATATCAGGTTGTAACATATATGTTAGGAACTGTTTTTGGAAAATGGCCCTATAGTTGGGACCACCCGGGAATAATCAATAGTTGAGATTATTATCGGCATGCCGGTAATAGTTGGGGTTAATATTTTCAATTTTTCCTATAATTAATTAGTAAAAGTAGCAACGCATACACTTTAAATCTTTTTTATTTGATAAAGTTAAAAATTATGTACTATCACAAAACATAACTTTAATTAAGTCATTTCTCAATTCTAGATATGTCCCGTGCATCGCACAGGTACTTCATCTAGTATTTATAATAGAAGAGTTTCCAAAATACAGATTGTAAGGTGTTAGAGATTGTATAACAAAACCTTATCCGTGGATCAAAAATATTGTTGAAATTTTTGGTCCGTTTCTGAGGAGCCGCGAGTTTCCGTACAGTAGAGGTTAAGTTTTATATCTATAAACACAAGTTATCTCCCTTGTAATCCCTTGATCCAAAAATATTAAGAACATTATTGGCTTGATAGTGCCCCCAGGCGTAGACATTCGTGGCGAACTGGGTTATCAAATTTCGTGTGTTCTTTATTGTTCTTCGTGTTGCATAAATTAGTTTTTAACACAAATTATTTCTAAATATATATTAGGTAGATTCCTAAATATATACTTTCTCCGTTCTTTTGTAATTGCAACGGTCCACTTTTCACGCTTGCCAACGCACAAGTTTGACTGTTAATATCTTTCATTCCTTATTAGTAAAAAAATTAAAAAAATCAGATTTTGAAAATTAATTATGAAAGGAATTTAAAAATTTAATTCATAATACATTAATAAATAAAATATAGTCAAAGTAGAGTGTGAATAGTGCAAAAAGTCCTACGTTGCAATTAAAAGAGAACGGAGGTAGTATTAGACAAATTCTTAAATATATTGTCACATACCATATGTGGTAATATTTTGGTGGTTACAATTCATTCATACTTTATCAAAATAAAGCATACAATTTTCATAAAAGTTGTGCCACATCGGCCCTTTTGTCCCGAACATAGTAGGACGGAGGTAGTAGTTATTGTTTATAAAGAAAATTACATAAAATGTGTCTAAGTTTAGAAAATTGGTTTAGTCCAGTAAAATTGCCAAAAACGAAAAAAAAAATCGATTATCTGTAATACGAAGCTACGAAGTACGTACGTGTTTTCAAACAAATCAAAAACACGAAGAACGTATGTAACAAATATGAGCTGGGCCGACTGTTTTTTAGATTGTAGAGAGTATTTCTTTTTTCTTTTTCTTTTTTTGAAATAGTGTACATCCCTTATAATGTCTTCCGTAGTGAGAGTGGGTACGTACAAAACCAAAACCGTTCCTCTATAAAAAGCCCTACCCTTAGCATTCTTTTGAGAACCATTCTAATATACTTAACTAGCTAAAGATCAAAGATATATAATGGGTTCTCTTTTGAGTGATTTTTTTGCTCTTCATGAAGAACAAATGGGCTTAGAGAGAAAATGGAGTTACCAAGGAAATATGCTACGGGATCTCGCACCCATACAGTCATGGTCGGAGCAGGAAACAGCGGATAAAGTAAAAACAAAAATGGCAAGGCTTGACGAGGAGATAATGCAGGTGAAAGAAAGGAATGCTGCTATTGGAGAAGAGTTGACGGGCCTGAGTGAACTAGTCCTGAACTCCGTCAATGATTGCAAGGAAGCGGTTGTCTTTGTGAAGGAGTTTGCATTTGAGGGAGCTGTGGTTGTGAGCAATGGTGTGGAGGATGAAGAGAGGGAGAAAATCATGGAGATTGCTCAAGAGAAAGGCATCAAACTGGGTAAATCATGAATAATGTAAGTTTTGGCTAGGGTGTGTTTGAATTGAGCGATGCTCTAATAATAATAATAAATAATCAACATGACATGATGAATGTTTCTTGTGATGTGATGTTGTCGGTGTTAGTGACGTTAATTAATTGAGTAGCTAGGTAATTAAGACGTTTTCATGTGTGTGTTGTAGGCGTTAGGTACTCCTATTTCCCTTAACATACGTCACACTAACGCGTACAACACACATTAAAGCATCTTAATTACCTAGCTACTCCCTTAATTAACGTCACTAACACCTACAACATCACATCACAGGAAACATTCATCATGTCTTGTTGATTATTCATTATTATTAGAACATCACTCAATTAAAACACACCTTAGCCAAAACCTGCATTATTCATGATTCACCCCAGTTTGATGCCTTTCTCTTAAGCAATCTCCATGATTTTCTCCCTCTCTTCGTCCTCCACACTATTGCTCACAACCACAGCTCCCTCAAATGCAAACTCCTTCATAAAGACAGCCGCTCTCTTGCAATCGGAGTTCAGGACTAGTTCACTCAGGCCCGTCATCTCTTCTCCAATAGCAGTCTTCCTTTCTTTCACCTGCATTATCTCCCCGTCAAGCCTTGCCATTTTTGCTTTCACTTCGTCTGCCATTTTCTGCTCCGACCATGACCGTATGGGTGCAAGATCCCATTACATATTTCCTTGGTAACCCCATTTTCTCTCTAAGCCCATTTGTTCTTCATGAAGAGCAAAAAAATCACTCAAAAGAGAACCCATTATATATCTTTGATCTTTAGCTAGTTAAGTATATTAGAATGGTTCACAAAAGAATGCTAAGGGTAGGGCTTTTTATAGAGAAACAGCTTTGACTTTGTACGTACCCACTCTCACTATGGAAGACATTATAAGGGATGCACACTATTTCAAAAAAGAAAAAGAAAAAAGAAATACTCTACAATCTAAAAAAACAGTTAGCCCAACTCATATTCGTTACATACGTCCTTCATTTTTTTTTTTGGTTTGAAAACACATACGTACTTCGTAGCTTCGTATTACAGATAATCGATTTTTTTTTTCGTTTTTGGCAATTTTACTGGACTAAACCAATTTTCTAAACTTAGACATATTTTATGCAATTTTCTTTATAAACAATAACTACTACCTCCGTCCCACTATGTTCGGGACAAAGGGGCCGGTGTGGCACAACTTTTATTAAAAATAAAAATTGTGTGCTTCATATTGAATTGATAAAGTGTGAATACAGTATAAATGAATTGTAACCACCCAAATATTACCACAGATGGTATGAGACAATATATTTAAGAATATGCCTAATATATATTTAGGAATCTACCAAATATATATTTGAGAATAGTTTGTGTTAAGAACTAATTTACGCAACACGAAAAACAATAAAGAACACACAAAATTTGATAACCCAGTTCGTCACGAATGCCTACGTCTGGGGGCGCTACCAAGCCAAGAATGTTCTTAATATTTTCGGATCAAGGGATTACAAGGAAGAAAACTTGTGTTTATAAATATAAAACTTAACCCCTACTATACGGAAACTCGCGGCTCCCCAGAAACGGACCAAAATTTTCAGCAATCTGTATTTTGGATCGACGGATAAGAAGTTTTTATACAATATCTAACACCTTACAATCTGTATTTTGGAAAGTCTTGTATTATAAATACTAAACGAAGTACCCGTGCAATGCACGAGACATATCTAGAATTGAGAAATGACTTAATTAAAGTTATGTTTTGTGATAGTACATAATTTTTAACTTTATCAAATAAAAAAGATTTAAAGTGTATGTGTTGCTACTTTTACTAATTAATTATAGGAAAAATTGAAAATATTAACCCTAACTATTACCGGCATGCCGATAATAATCTCAACTATCGATTATTCTCAGGTGGTCCCAACTATAGGGCCATTTTCCAAAAACAGTTCCTAACATATATGTTACAACATGATATAGCATGTCAATTTTAAATTCGAACTATGTGTAAGTTTTAAATAATCCCAATTATAGTCGACCTTTTTTTATTAATCCTAACTATCAACTCTTAATATTTGGAACATAGAGTTTTTTTCTTAAATTTCCAAACTAAATATTTTAATCATGTATAGACAACTAAAAAATTATACATATGTACCAAAGTTAAATAAAATATTTTTAGTCATTTTTTGATTCATTTGCGCAAAAATTTATTTTTTTCCTTTTTTCCAATTTGTTTTTTCAGTTGTGTTATCGATTTTGTATTATTTTCCTTAATATAAGGTTGTAACCGGTTAGAGAAATTTTTGGAAAATGGTTCTTATAGTTGGGATCACGCATGAATAATCGATAATTGGGACATACGGGCTTGGTAACGAGTAGAAAATTGTGAGTGAAGCCGTGAAGGTGGGACATCATTTTTCCGGTATCTGATGGAGCCCATCTGTACTCTTCCTGCAAAAAAATTAGATTTAATTAGTATAAAACAACTAACTGCAGCACTAAAAAACTATTGCAATTACCGAGAAGCGTGAAGTGTATTTCTC